GAGAGGACTGCACCAGGGAATGAGAGGGTAATGGGTGCAAAGGCCCCAGGGGCAGAGGGAAAGGTCTCCTGGGTCACAGGCTAGCTGGACTCGTCCCAGGTGACCAAGGTGGTGCTGTCATCAAAATCCCTGAGCATGCAGCAAGCTCCGCTCCCCAGAGAACGACGCAGGAGGCTGGGGCCCAGCAGCAGCTTGGGGACATGGAGCTGAGGGCAGAGGAGGGGCAGGTGCGATGCCCACAGCGCCCCCAGGCTCAGTGCTCAACCCGCTTCTACCAAAGAATTCAGAGACAATGTTCTGAGCAACCGTTTTCCAGTTCTGCCAAGGATGGCACTGGATGACTATCAGAGTTCGAGGGTGAGACGCCCGGTCCTGACACGCAGAGGAAGCTCCAGTGCTTCACCGTCTCCTGCCTGGAGAACAGCTGGGGCTTCCAGAATCGGGGCGCTATTGGGAGACCCGGGGAAAAGCCTTTGGGAAAGGCGACTCCTGATCCTGATGGAAGATGACCAGAGCAGGCAGCACCAGGAAGCACAGAATCCCAAGTCCCAAGAAAGAACTTCTGCAGCACTGGGCCAAGGGATGCCTGGGCGCCAGGCAGGTCCAGCCATCTTTCGGGTTTGGGGTTTCTGCATATTTGACCCCTAGTGGCTCTGTCCATAACGCCCACGTCATTCACGTGAGTGTGCGCACACACAGACACACACACACACACACACACACACACACACACACACTCAGGCCCACCGTTGAGGGCAACCTGGCTGCAGGCCAGGAGGAGGCAATCCCAGACCCCGGCCTCCTTCCACAGCACCCTCGGGAACCGTCTGGCCCAGCCTGTCTGGGAGACCCAGGCAAGCTCCTCGTCCAAGGAGCGACTGTTCCGTGTGCAGCCAGCATGGCACCCGCTCCCCAGGAGCCACCTAATGAAAACCTCCTGTGTAGACCTGGAGGGCGCACGCAGACTCAGGCTGATCTCAGCTGGGCCTCGCGCCCAAGGTATGACCTCACCGTCCGCCAAGCCGTATGGACGCCAGAAAGAGAAGGCTGGTGTGTGGGCCAGACCTGCCCTAATCAGGGCCAGCTGGGATGGAGGGAGGCACGGGGCCACCTCCCCGTCCCGGATGGCGGGGTCTGTGGTTGGGGGCGGGATCATCTCACACTAAGAATCCTAACTCCTGCCCCCCAAACACGCCTTTCCTCCTTCTTCCTCTCACCCTTTCTTTTCTTCTCTTTCTTTTTTTGGCTTTATTCCCATAAAAATATCTGCCATTCCATATGTTCCATCCCTGAAAGAAACTTGATAGGCAGGACCGAGGCTCTGCACAGGACCCCAGTTACAGGAGGGAGAGGGAGGATATAATTAGATTCTAATATATATATTTTTTAAACAGAACAGCTCAAAAAGACCCATTAAGAGAAGGACACTGTGAAACAGTCAGTCCCTTCACGCCAGTGCCAGGCTCCCAGAAGTGCCCCTTGCAGGCATCCTCACAGAACACTCAAGTGTCACGCAGCAGCACGACGCCTCAGCCGCCACGTTCAGCGGACCCTGCTTCCACATGCACCAATCAGCCGCCAGCAGCTCCTGCTTCCTAATCCTGCATGATTTTCATAATCTGGTACTAAGTCTCTTGTAGGCACCAAGACAAAATGTGGAGGAAGCTATGCTTTAAAAATAAATAAATGAGCTTTGGGTCACTGTGAAACAGCGGAAGACTTGGGATTTTAACAGAAATTCTCTACAAGGCTTGCAAGTTCTGCCTTCAGCATTATCGATTAATTGGTGAAACTTAGAATCTCTCAGATGGCATCCCAGACAGAGCCTGAGCCTGTGACCTGAGGAGCTCCTAAGACAGGCATCACAGGAAGTCCCATGGGACTGTAGAGGATTTGCAATTCCCTGGAGTCCAGCTCACAGGGAATCTCTTCATCACTGCAAATCCTATAAAAAACTATACTTTCTATATTTTCAGGTACCCAAGTCCAACCAGGGTCAAATAATATAAATGGAAAATTACAGAAATAAAAAAAATGCATAAGTTTTAAACTGTACTATTCTGAGTAGTGAGATAACACCTCACAGTATCCCCCTCTGCCTTGCCCAGGACACGAATTGCCCTTTGGTCCAAGGTATCCACAGTGTATATGCTACCCTCCCATCACTTGGGGGACATCTTAGTTATCAGATGGACTTTCATGGCACTGCAGGGCATTAATCTCTCACTGTACCTAGTTTATGAACTAAATTTTATTGTGGGTATGCATGTAGAGGGAAACTCACAGCATTCATAGGGTTGGTATCATGCACAGTCCCAGGCATCCCGTATGGGTCTTGGGACAAGTGCTGCATACAGCACAAAGAACAAGGGGGACTTGGCTGGAGACCCTTAAATCTCAGAGAACTGATTCCCCCACAGTAGCCCCGCTCATTGTTACGGAAGTTGCTTATCAATTCCATTTGCATGTAGCCCATTGGGTGAGGAAAATGAAAAGCACCCAATCTTCTTAGCTCCATAAACAGAGGCACAGGTTAAGATCTCTACTGTTTTAAGGAGGAAAGTTTTTCTGCAGACGTATCCCTGAAATGATGATGGAAGTCAGTGGGAGATTTCACTATAAAATATGGGCTTCTCTCCAGCCCTTCAGAGCCATCTCTAAAGCACAAAGAAAGGCCACGTCAGGCCTGCAAAGAGAAAGAGTCACAATCCCTCAGAGCCAGGAGGGCCAGCCGGGAGGACCACCCGGCAGGGCCAGCTGGGAGGACCACCCGGGAGGGCCAGCTGGGAGGACCAGCCAGGAGGGCCAGCTGGGCCTGCGCACTGACGGATAACCTGACACAGCATCTCCGTGACTTTGACAGAGGAGAAACAGCCTTAGAACACCTGCAAGTTGGCCCTGGGCTTCACTCAGTCACCGTCCAGTCGATCTTGTTGTCTTACCCCCGACAAGTCCAGCAAGAAACCAGGAGGAAGCCACGCTCTTCTCTAGTCTGCAGGCCAAGCTGACGTCTCTACCTTGGCCCCAATCTGGTCCCCCAAGAGATACACTGGCCCTCTCCTTGGGTCCCCATCATCTGGCCCACAAGTCACACTCTGCCCCAGGGCGCGGAAGGGCCACCGCTCTGGACACTCTATGTGGATTCAGGCTGGTCTTTGGAGGAGGAGGTTGTGAAGGGCTGACTCAACAGAGGGCCCCGCCCTGGACCTTCTGCAGAGACCAGGGTACCTGCCAGGAGGCTGGTTCAGGACCAGTCCCACAACTTCAGGGCAAGAAAGAATCTTTTTTTTTTTTTTCCCCCCGGCTGGCATTTATAATAAATAACTCTATCAAAAAAAAAATAAATGTTTGTTAGTAAGAAATAGGACTAGAGAAAAACAAAAACATAAGTAGGTCCACAATTTTATATGGAGAGATAACTACTATTGGTACTTTGATATGGATACATCCAAATCATTTTTCTTGTGGATATAGTTATTTTTAAACATAGGGTATGAGCCCTGGCACACCCATATCTAACAACTTACTAATGACAAGTCTCAGTAGCATTAAATATTATAAAATAACTATAGAGAGATGTACATAAGCGACTTAATTGCCAATTGTTTTCATTACCTTAAATGTAACTCATACATCACTATGAGGAACAAAGTTGCTATAAACACACACATAATCTTGATCCACATTTCTGACTATTTCTTTGATATAAATTCTCAAAATAGAAAGGCTGAGGCACAGTTTTTATATCTACATGTCTATTTTTTTTTCTCCTTTTGGCTTGTTCTTTTAGTTAGCATGACGGTGGAGTGTATCTTGCACACTGTACTAACGTGGAGCAGAACGTCCCCTTTCTGTGGTCTTACGTGATGGGCAGCTACAATGGTCGTGTATGCAAGATGGATGATGCAGTCACCTTTTGGCCATTTTATTCCATCACTTTATTGTTTAAATTTGTGTTGATTCTTTGATAGGGACTTTGACACACGGGCCCCAGAATGTGGACGGCCAGTGGGGCTGGTTCACAAGGACACTGCCCAAGGAACCAGGCTGGGTGCAACCCCTGAGGCAGCTGGTACCTGACCAAGGACGGGCTGCACAAGTCTTAGGGCCGTGTTGCCTGCCACACAGCCACACATGCTCCAACCCACAGCCCTGTGAGGTGTTGAGAAGGACAGGACTCTCCCCGTTCAGCAGAAGGGAAACTGAGTCAGAGCTAGAACCCCCACGGCCTCTGTTTCAGAGGCCTCCTGCCGATTCCTCTTCCTCCAGGAAGCCTCCCTGACTCTCCCCAGACGACCACAGCATTCTGCAGCGAGACCCTTTCCCAGTGATGTCCTAAGTAGAGACCCCATATGTCAGACGGACATAAAAGAGGTTTCCATTACCGTACGATGGACCGTGCTTTGGCCACAAAAGGAAGCGCAGCGTCTGTGCCTGGCCACGGATGAGCCAGGAAGCCCTGGGCCAGGGGAGAGGAGCCGGGCTCAGCGGCCACGGCCGTGTTTCCTGCTCAAATGGAAGGTCTGGCCCCGGCAGACCCAGAGGCAAGACAGAGACTTGGGGCGCTGGGCTTGTGGATGGAGGGCTTGGGAGGTCTGGCTAGTGGGTGCGGGGTTTCTCTCAAGGGTGACAGCAAGGTCCTGAACTTGACCGAGCACCAGCTGCACAAATCCCTGAGCTGACTAAGAGCCACAGGGTCCTGTGCTTTACACGGGCGAATTTCATGGAATGCAAATTCTCTTTCCACAGAGCTGTTTTTGCAGAGAGGGAAAGGAAAGGGGGTGGAATGGCCACGGCCAGGCTCCCTCCTCCCACCTCCTGCACCAGCCAGAACCACCTCTGCAGGCCCCGGGCCCCTGGGATTGGTGGAAGCCGTGACCTCGTCCGAGCCCCCACTCCTCGCCTAGGAGCCCAGACGGCACCCTGAGTTCCTGGCTGCAAGCTGCAAGCCCCGCGGGAGCCTTGGCCGGCTGAGGAGCGGGAGCTGCCCGTGGTCTTACCGTCCATGTCCAGGCGCTGCATGATGATGGCCAGCTCCACCTCGCTCGGCATGTACCCCAGGGAGCGCATGGCCATGCCCAGCTCCTGCTTGGAGATGAAGCCGTTGCCATCTCGGTCCAGCACTCGGAAGGCCTCTCGGATTTCTGAAAGGAAAAGCAAGAGTCCTGTGGTCACACGGCGGGGTTCACGGCAGGGGGACCAGAAATGGCTGTCCCTGGGGGTGATCCATAGCCACCCCTCAACAGATGAAGAGCACCAAGAAGAAAAGGAAACGAGGGGAAGGAGGGAGAAAAGGAAGGAAAGAGAATGGAAGGAAAAGAAGAAAGAAAGAGGGAGGCCCTGCATTTCCTAAAACCCTGGGCAGCACAACCAGGCTGCGGTTGGCAACCAGGCCACCCGAGGTGCTTCTGAGCATGCAGAGGGTCACGTTCCAGCAGCCAGAGAAGACTTAGTCCTCAGCCCCAGGAGGAAGGAGATTGAGTTTCCCTCTGCAGATATATTTCAGGTCCCTGCTGCTTCAGGAGCCTCACAGAAGCTTTCCGACCTCTGAGGAGGGCTGGAGTTAAGAATCCTGCTGCTTTTATTTCACTCGCTAATTTACAGTTGTTTTATGGCTATAAACAACCTCAGATCAATAAGAGTGTCAGGAAAGCTCAGGGAGCATTTTTAATCACTTTCCCCGGGGGGCTGGCAGAGAACTTGACTCTGCTATCAGCAAGGCCCTTGCACTCAGCCGGTGATCCTCCCGACCCTTTAACCCCAACCAGAGCTGCTCTGAATTCCACCCGCACCATCCTCCAGCGTCCACGGCGGCGGGTTCAGGGTTGGCCGAGCATTTCCAGCACAGAGCAGCCCTGAAAGGCCAGCCGGGGGAATCTGAGATTTCAGAAGACAATCGCAGCTTCCATCGCTACTGGGTCCACCAGACCTAGCGCAGGCTGGATGTGAACCCCCTGCCAGCCCAGGAGTGGCAGCTGCCCACATGGGTTGGGCCACATCAAGCTGTCACATGAGGAGCATGGTCCTAAGTGCCACAGAGAAATAAAAACAATCCACAGGTCATCACGGCTCTCCCGCTCGGCCCAGCCAGGGTGGCAAGAAGCACAGGGAACTCACTGTCACGCTTGAGGTCACACAGACACTCGGCCCTAACCCGCTGGCTGACTGTCCAGCAGATACCCTCCCCTGGACAGCCTTCCCCAAACAGGCTCGGGCTTGTCTTCGTAACCACTACCCCGTGGCTTCAGTGACAAATTAAAACCACAGAAGTCTGTTCCCTAGCAGTCACACTAGACCACAATCGAGGTGTCGGCCGAGGTGGGCTCTGTGGAGGCTCTGGGGAGATCACTCTCTGCTCTCCAGCTCCAGCGACCACCAGTGGTCCTTGGCTTGCAGTCACTGCACTGTCACCTCCATCTTCCTCTGCCTCCCTCTTATAGGAACGTGCGCATCTAGGGACCGTAATGGCTTGGATCTGAGGTGTCTCCAAAAGCTCACATGAGACAACACAGGAGTGTTCAGAGGTGAAATGTTTCCATCGTGAGACCTGTGACCTGGTCAGGGCATTAGTCCACCTGAATGGTGACCTGAGCAGTAACTCCAGCAGGGAGGGTGTGGCTGGGGGAAGCAGGTCTGGGGGCCGACCTAGGTTTGCAGCTTGTCCCTGGCACCTTGCTCTCTCTCCCCCTCTCTTCTTCCCTCCACCACACGCTCCCTCCAGGAGGATCTGCCTCACCTCGGGCCAAGAGCACTGGAGTCGGCCAACCACAGACTGAACCTCTGAAACCATGAACCCAAACTAACTTCCTTCTGTCAGTCGTTCTATCAAGGACTGCGGTCATGGCAATGCGCAGCGGACACGGGTACCATGTCCCCATCCCAGATCCTTAACTTAATCATGTCTTGAGAGACCTCTTTCCAAGAGACCATTTACCGATTCCAGGGACAAGACCTGCTGCCCTTGAGACTGATCCCTCCCGCTCTCCCACGGGATACGACTGCCCCCCACTTTCTTTGCCAAAATCATATCCACTCTTCAAAGCCAAGTGAAAGGCCAGGTCTCCATAGAATACCTTTGCTCAGGACAGCCACCCTCTCTCCGGCTCACTCCGCCCCCATGGCCCTTCTGAAGACACGGTGACTGCACAATGTGTTATCAACCACCAACACTAATGAATGCTTTCTGTGAAGACCTGGGTTCCAGGGGAGAGACCAGTCTGGAGCCAGGACCCTTGGCTTCTGGCTGGGCCCAGTGGCTAATTAAGTCTGCAGCCAAACCCGGAGGTCCCGGCTGCTCATGTGTAAAGTGAGCCGGGCTGGCTGCAAGGATCCTTTAAGTCCTACCAGCCCTCCCTGCTGTGGATCTGTGGACACTGTTACAGTGTTCAAAAGAAGAACAGGAAACTGTTCTCCAACATATGCTGTTAATCTGCTTGTCAAAACATCACCCCTTCCTTTCATTGACAGAATAAAATTATTTCCTGCAGCTCAAAGTCTGAAGGGAGAAGTCTGTCTGCACCTGTCAGCTTCCTCCATCAACCATCCTGCCCAAGAGGACCTAGGGCAGCCTGTCTTCTCCACGCAGTCCCGGGAGTCCCGGGAGGAAAGCAGGCACATGCACTCAAGGACACAGGACCCCATAGTCTCATGCAGCCGGAGGCCAGAGCCAGACACCCAGGATGGCGGTGTGCAGAGGAGAGTCTCCCAAAGGGCCACAAGAATGTTGGTCCCTGCTCTGCCCAGCGACCAGGGCAGCTTCCCTCAACCTCATTCTCCCCATCTGAAGAATGGGTGAGGGTTGAGCTCCTTCCAGCCTCGATGGTAAGGCTTTACCTTGGGGCCAGGATGGGCCACGCCACAGGAGAAAACAACAGTTATGACCCACAGTGAGGGTCATGGGTGGCCAGCAGGAGGCTGGGCCCTGCCCTTCCTTCTCTGGACAGCTCCTCCCGGGACATCATCTCCACATCCCTCCTACACTCTCTGGGCTGCTGATGTCACCATGCAGGATGGTTCCCTGGTGTTGACACAACCCCGTCTTGTTCCCAAGGTCTCCCTGCACATCCCAGACCTTCCCATGAACTTACACTGGACACCCCAGAGGGCCTGGGGGTGGGGTGAAAGCATGAATGGAAATGAGGATGCCAGCAGCTGTGCCTCCTGTCCCCCACTGAGCTGTCCTGGCTGCCACCAGACCTTCCCTTGGGCTACAGGATTGGGCCATCAAGCAAGGATGGGGTATGGGTGGGGGTCACTCTGGGACTGCCCACTGGGAAGGGCCTGTTCCCTCAGGGCCTTGAATTCCCAGTTGGCTCAGTCTGCAGGAAGTGCCCAGCCAGCCCTGAGGCCCAGCATGGCCAGAGCAGCCAGCTATCAGCCCAGGTGCTCTCCCCCGTGGTCTGCAGGTAAGTAGGTCACAGCTGTCCTCCGTGTACATAGAATATCTGCTCCTGGCCCCCAGATAGAGAGGGAGCAGGCAGAGAAGGGGGAAACAGGGTAAGAAACTGGAAATCCAGAGTGGACGCCCTGGAGATTCCATCTTTCTGGGTAAGGAAAACCCAGATCGACCAGGGGCTTTATTGGAAGGAAATGAGTCTCGCAGTCTGGGAGAGGCGTGGGATTCGTGCCTCGTTTTATTTTTAATAGCAGAACAGGGTGTGAGAACGACGCCGTAAAACCAGCGGAGATGGTGGGGCAGGCGGGATGTCTGCTGGGCAGCAGGCGGGATGTCTGTCTGCTGGGCTGCAGGCGCGGCTGGCAGCACCCGCGGTCCCTGGCCACCTTCCATCCTTGGAAAGAGGGGCCCACAGATCCTGCGAGCAGAATGGGCTGGCCATGCTGCGAGGTGTTCACAAGATTCGTCTCCTGGGGGCTGAGGACCCTGGGGGCAAGCCGTGCTCTGGGTCTTCTGTTCCACTTCGCTTCTCGACCTCACACAACACGAGGGGCACCAGGAGCACACTCTTGCCACCACCCCCAAGACACCCATGAACCAGAGGAGGCCTGTCTTGGTAACAGCAGCCGTCCCGACTGTCCCTGTACAGAGTGCGGGAGACACATGGGAAGATGCATCTCCAGAAGGAAGAATCCAGTCTCTGCTTATGGAACCTTCCAGAATCAAAGTCTGCTTTCCCACGGGGACCTGGGCCTCTCCTCCTGGAGCCATGTGCAAGGCCCTGAGGCCAGCAAGGCCGTAGAGAGCCAAGGTCCTATTCCGGAACCCAGGGGGTTTACTTCTCATTTTGCTGGTTACCCCTTTTCTCTTAAAATACATGCATGTCCGCCATGCATACTATTTGCCTTCTGAGACTCCAGCCTCGGCCGCACGAGCCTTCCTAAGGACACAGCTGATTCAGGCAGGGACAATGACAAGGACACCTGCCTTGGAGGTTCAGACGCCAGCCAGTCAATGTTAGTCGACCAACATTTTGGCTTTGAAGAACCAGCCGACATTTACAGCACTAATTCCCAGCCTCAACTCAGTAACAGCAGTTTTTCTGAGCTCCACCCCGTAGATGCAAAACCCATTATTCTCCACGGAAGTGTGTCTGCAGGAAGAAGGGGGGCTCCGAGCACGTTAACTAATAGCTCTATTAACAGACGCCTGGCTCTGCAGACACACATCACGGAGGACTTGTGGACATGGACACAGCTGCAGCTCGGCGAGGCTGGGAGGGTAATTACTAAACCACAGAGTACGGGACACCAACCCCAAGGCCTGCACTCAGGAGACAGTGCATTAGGTGGGACTGAGCCAACAACAAGAGAAACGGGGAAGGTTTCCACCTCCTCTAAGAAAGGCAAAGAAAGAAGAATATTTGAAGATGATTAATACAACCGCTCATCCAGCCGACATTTACAGCACTAATTCGCAGCCTCAACTCAGTAACGAAGAACAGCAGTTTTTCTGAGCTCCACCCCGTAGATGCAAAACCCATCTAATAAGCTGCTGTTTGCTTATTATCATAGGCCAGATGCTACGCTAGAAAGCTCACAGAAGCACTTCCCAGGCTGTGAGAACCCAGTATCCTTGTTGGAGAGACGGAGAGGTGACCAGATGTTCATGAGTGAGGAAGACAGGTGCAATGATACAGGTTTGTGCAAAGTGGAGAGAGACACTGGGCACAAGGCTGCTGGAGATCAC